CTTCAGAGCATCAATATCAACATGTTGCCCCTGCCATCACAGTTTTTAAGGCTAAAGTCATCTGAACGAAATTTGCTGAACCATCTTTGACACTTACGAATGTTCAAAACATTTCCATAAACATCTTTGATATTCTTTGTGGCTACAGAGGCTTTGTTTCCCTTCTTGTCTTCAAACAGCATTACATGCCGAATGTGTGTCTCATCATGTGCCATCACAATAAGGGATTAGAATATACTAAACTTTAGACATTATGTAGGTTACAATAACATGATGTTTAAGTTTTCGTTTAACTATTATATGTGATGTACGTTTTTTGGGGGTTGGTTAATGAAAGTGTTCCAAAATGCGACATTAATTTCTTCATGACCTAATATTAAAAAGAATAGCTAAATATCAAATTTTGTGTGTCATATGGTATATCCTCTTCTGTTTTATTCAGATTACACTTTATGATGCCCACAATACAATGTTTATAGTTTCTTACAAATTAGAAACTTAAATTACTGATATTGACAAGCTAGAATATAAAATAAAAACCTCCTACCTGCTGAGATATCATTATATTTAGTGAACCCACCACAATGGCTCTGCCCGCCTCTTCCTCTTTTGGAAATACTTGCTTACCTACACCCACTTCTCTCCATTACATGTTTAGAACCAATCAAAAGTGTTCATTGAACAATGTAATTCTTCTAGTTTTTCTAAAGTATATATGCAGGTAAAGCTGCATTACCATTGGAGAGTTTGAAGAGTGGTTGTCAAGGTGATATGTTGATCATGAATGAGATTTTTAGACCCAAATACAGCTTAGTTAGGAAGCCTGATAAATTACAGTGGAATTTTGTTGTATCGGTGTAGTAAGTTATAATTTTTTTGTTATTTCAAAATGCATATATAAAACCTACAAATATTGTTTTTTGCATCCTCCATATGCAACATTTGATGAGGCTTAGAAAGTACGACATGCAAGTACAAACAAACTTTGTAACATCATAAGTAGTAAAGATCACTGTCTTCTATATATTGTATATATATCCCTATTCTCAAGTAATTTTGAACTTATTATGTTTATAAAGGCCAGTGCTTAGAGGTATGATGTAAATCAGTAGAAAAAAAGTTAAAAGTTTTTTGCATTGAAATATATATATATCGCATTACAGTTATCGGTCCAGGTTGTCAACTTATTTTCATAGTGGATAAAATCTGTGGCAATAGCACCCAAATGCATTGGGGATATCCCATCTATCAGACAAAATCTAAATGCTTACGTTAAGCTAGACAACCGTCATAGAAAATCAAATAAATTTACAAAAATCAAATAAGGGTACAAAGCTGAGTGCTTACACACGCAACATCTCTGCTTCTACTGCCTTTCACTGTCTACAGCCAGTTGTGGGAAAGCAGCTACCCTTAAATTTCTAGAAGTAGAAATGAAACCACCCTAACATTTCTACTAATTGTACTCCCAATCTCCATCCTTTCAAAGAGATATTAAATAGTATTGTTACTTCTCTGGTCGTTTGTTAATTTCCCATAAAAATTATTTCTGAAGAACTTCAGCGATACAAGTCCTTTCTTAAATAAAACAAGTTTATTTTTTCTCAATACAACTTTGCAATCCACAGAATTTCCACGGTCACTTTAACTTAAATACATGCTATAATTCACAACGATTCACGCACTTTACTTACGGTTACTACCGCTCACTTGACTCGATTATCTGTCTCTATATCTCCCTATCTGCCATTATCTATCCCATCACTCCTCCTCTCCACTTTATTTGCCGGGCTTATATACAAAAATACAGAGCGTCTGGCAAACACTAGAGTTGCCAGGAACAGTCATGATCCTTCTAGAAACTCATGACGTATTACCAGCATTACGTGACTTCCGCTGTCATAACATAATTTTTGGGTATATATATATACCCAAAAATTAAGGCAATTCCTTGCTTGGACATGATTTTGTATTTTAACAGAAATGTTTAGCTAGCAATATGTACAGTAATCTTGATGAAGTGTTTTATATAAATAAATCCAGTAATCTTTCTGAATTATGAGGCCTATGTATATGTGATTGTGTGTGTGTGTGTGTATACACTGTACATGCTTTTTCTGTTACCAGATGGAGAGTCAAGAATTTCTTGCTGAAAACAGTGCATCCGTATATATTTATAAGGTAGAACAACGCATAAATGAGGAAGCTGAACGTGCCAAGCATTACTTGGATGAATCTACAGAAGAAAAAATTGTACAAGTTGTTGAAAAAGAACTTATAACGGAGCATATGAAAACAATTGTAGAGGTATGAATGTGTACATAAATGAAATTGTTAAAGTTCTAATGATGTGTAAGAGTCCTTTGTTTTGTTTCATTTCAGCTCAAGAAAAAGCATGAACTTTAATACTCAAAAATCTACATTATTGAACCCCATTCTTGAGGTTATCATTATGTTTGTATAAATTTTTTTTCTCTTGTTTACATAATAATAATAAATCACTGAATACTTTAGTGATAATATAATGACAGGAGATGGGATTGTGAAATGTAAGGGAATCAATCATGGCATATTACAACTCCCATTTCATCCGTACATTTGTAACTCACAGGAAGTACTTGTCAGTTTATATATAAACTGGTATCAGACCACCAACTGATGTTTTGAATTTTTCAGAGCAGGTTTAATACAATGACATCATATAGCTGTGAACTACACCTTATTTTTAACAGGTAACATCATAAAGAAATTGTCCAGTAGATACAATATTTCTCTATATTCCTGTATGATAGTTATTATCCCAAAATTTGCTGGGAGTATTTGTCTGGCAAGTAGGTAATGAAACCATTCAACAACTTAAATTGTAAAGACTTGAACACTTAATGAAAATAGGTCTCAGATTGTCATTTTGATTCTTGAACACTAGTTTAATCAACAATTTTGGTAAATCCTTTGATTCTTTGAATTGCAGTCCATATCATTTTTTCAAATTTTTCTTTATATGTATGTATACTTACACACACATTATGTTGAAATTTGAATAAAGGCAGTGATAACTAGTTCTTTGATCCTTGTATGTTTTGTGTTAGACTTGATCAATATAAACTGGAACTAGTGGAAGCGTTACTTTGGTTATTAAGTTAAGGGAAATCACTCACAAATTGCAATTTAAAAAAATAATGTGTAAAGGGAATATTGCTATCTGTTGCATATGGTTAGCCACAATCATTTGATACTTCCTCCAAAACTGAAATAGTGTACATATAGGTGAAAATAGTTTCATAAGGCTAGTCTGTATGCCACATGACTAATGAGACGCATTTCACATGCAGCAGGGTACAAAATGGCTCACTGGAAATGATTCCAATAACATGTCTAGGAGACCAACAATATGTGGAATGGAATAACAGTATTCTTTTTACAGATTAGTTGTGCTTCACCTTAACGCCAGAGAATCTGGAGTCAGGTTCAGCACCATGCAGTATCAGTGGAAGCCCATTCATATGTGGTCAGGAATGAACATTGGTGTACATACTGACCCCTTTATATTCACACATTATAGAGAGACGACATCCAGTGACTGTTTATGTTGTTGCTGATGTAACTGGCCCTGTCATCAGCCTAATGGATGTTAAAGCCTACATCACTGTGCTCAACTGGTCAATAATTTGTTGAAGAAGAGGGAGTTAACCAAATATGGAGACCTGCACATTTACTGTACTTCACTCCTGTGAAGCATGCATGGAATGCACTTGGTATTTAAGTGACTCCAAACGCTAAAAATGCCCTGGAAACAATTCTTTCAGAAGAGCGGTTAAAATGCATCAAGTCATTACTAATACTTTGACTTAAGCAGGCAAATGGGCCAAGATGTTTTTTGCTGTTCTTGGTATACATAATCTTTATTGAAAAAGTGAAATGTCATGAGCTGTAAAGATGTAAGATCACTTTTAGTAAATGTTAATGTACAAGCACAGGCTGACCGACTGGTTACATGCATTTCAGATCACATGACAAATCATGAGATACTAATTAGCACTAAAATATGATAAGGATTGATTGAACTTATAACAACAGTATTTTACTTGTCATAGCTTATAAATTACAATATTTTTGTTATTTCGTGCAGTGGATTAGCTTGCTTCATTAATGGTTAATGTTTATGACATATTCTAGAGTTAAATATATTTAGCTTATGAGCTTCTTACTATAATTAAATACCTTTCTCCATAATATTTAGTATTACATTTAATACTTGTGCTAGTGCCATGAAAATGAACATTTTTAAACTTCTGACCTTACATTTTTTTTAATGAATGCTGATATTGTTTTTCTGATGTAGATGGAAAACTCAGGAGTTGTACATATGCTAAAAAACCAAAAAACTGAAGGTAAGTTAATTTGTGAATGTTTTTTCATAAGCAAAGAACTAATTAAATTGTATTATGTTTATACTAACTGTATAATTAAAAGCTTGTACAGTGTACATATATATAGTAGAGATTGTTGATCTTGGTATTGAAAACGTTTATTTAAAACACAAAACAAGTAATAACCTTTCAACCTCCCTTTCTTAACCTGATGGTGACCTAAAGGGGTTGAAACGTTGTTTCTTGTTTTGTGTTTTATATAAAAGTTCTTAATAGCCATATCAGCCATCTATACTATATATTTTCATTTTTT